CAGCCACATAGAACTCGAAAGAGGGACATGGACTTCCTAAACCATGACTTGGCCCAGGATTGAACCATATTTACCCGAGCATAAACACACAAACACTTGGTTTTTAAAAATGTGTAGTTGAACTTTGGGAAGAGCACCATGTTGACCATAAGGCGACGTAAGTGCAGCTCTTTGAAGCCGAGGACTGCAAAGAGCATACACAGGCATGTGGCACGACTGCTTCTGTCTTGTGAGGTGACAAGAAGATCCCTAAACTGGATAGGACAAGAAGTCGAAGTCTAAGTATATTCAAGAAAATGCAGTAAATGGAACCAATACAATAAACGTAACATAAACATCCAACATGCAGAGGAGGAGAGGGGATCATGAGAAGAAAATTCTCCTCTTTTTCATACAGGAAGTGAAAAACATATCTAGGAGAGCTCATAAAATCGAGACACACTGGTGTGTTCGGGAAAGGGAACAAGCTAGAAGCAACTATTTCAGAGATGTTGGTCAAGGGACTCCAGTTGGGAAAGCAGCCCAGGGGTCACTTATGATCATAAGCTCTTCTCTCGTAATTTATCAACATAGAGTATTTTGATAAAAATTCCAATCGAATCTGGAAGCAAGCAGGAGAAGAAGCTGACTTATTTTCACATTTGAGAGGATGACAGGCCTCAGACCTCCCGAGGTACACACAGACAGAAGAGATCCACAGCAAAGGTTCCAAGGATTAGACTGCAGCTCCGCACAGCGCCGCAAGACTAAACCCTGCACGACGCCCGCAGAATCCAGTCCTCCCAGAACTTGAGACGCAACTTGTACTCTAAGCCTGAGAAGACTGATTACTTTACAAAGGTCGACCTTCTCAGGCAGAATGTAAAGCAATGCACTGTCTCAAAGCATAATAGACAACATGTCTGTGATGCATTCCAAATCCACCGTGCGAAGACCTGGGAAAGATCTCCTTATCTCCAGGTGTAAAAGGCAGTCAGCATAGTCTCACCCCACTCTGACCCAGGGGCTGCAATGAGCAGAGACTTAACATCAGCAGCTGTACGCACAGGCCATGAGGTGGAGGTAAGTATTCTCGAATGGCCAGATAGTTGTTTGCAGAAGAGAAACAGGAACCATACAAGACGATCCAATGGAGATGTTACAAGTAAAGTGCATGATATCTGGAAAGGCTCACTAGCAGATCTGATGTGACAGAGGAAAGACACCGTTTACTTAAAGACAAATCCAAAGAACTTATTCATTCTGCAGAGCACACGGAAAACGCTTGTTAAACAAGAACAAGGTCCTTTCATGCCAGATAATTCCTCCCAGCCTTCAAAGCTCAGTTACGAGCTCTCTGGGGAAACTCCACTCCCAGGGGATTTCAGAAAAAAGCAAAGGAAACACGTTTTGTTATTTCCAAGTAGTTCTACATGAAATAAAAGCTTGGAGTAAATGCCATGGCTTTGAAGAAAGTCTTGCACAAAGAACTGATGGTATCACTTGGATATGTAGCTCCAACTCCTAAATTCTATGTTATATCCTTGATGATTGATTGATAATAGGAAACCCCTAAACTTGTCATTATGATTTCAATAGGAAGTCTGGGGAGACAACAATCTTAGTCAAATGGAACACTTAAAACGCAATAGTTGGGTGGACTTTGGATAAGGAGGTGATTGTGATTCTTACTTTCTTTAAAAATATATATACATAATTAACAGTGATTTATTTTAACAGTAAGATTTACTAGCAAGAGTAGAGCAGTCATTCATAGAAGGGGGCTTTAGAAGGTTCAAAAAGGGAGGGTAGATAGAGCAGTGTTAATTTGGGTGAAATGGAAGGTTGTAGTACACAAGAGGGAGAAAAGAAATCAAAGAGCGGTGGAAGGGTGGCTAATTGCCCCAGTAGAGATCCCAAACTCCAAGCTCACTCCATCAAGTCAAATCTGATTCACAGCAACCCTATAGGGCAGAGAGAACTGTCTCTGGGGGTTTCTTTATAGGAGTGGAAAGCCTTGTCTTTCTCCTGTGGAGCAGCTAGTGGTGTTGAACTGCTGACCTTGAGGTTAGCAGCCTAATGTAATTATTATGCCACCCTCGCTCTTCATAGAAAATAAAAATTAGTATCAAATGATGAATTTTAATCTCACAAAGAAATGTCCACACAGATGGTTTCTCTGGAGAATCCTATCAAACATAATAATAATAATATTTCAAAAAATAATTCAGAAAATTTTCAAAATACAAGATAATTCAGAAACTAGTAATACTTTAATATCAAAGCAGACAAATACATCACTAGAAAATAAAACTAAAGCCCTATATCACTCACAAATATAACAAAGTTACACTCAAGGACTAAGTTAAAATTTATCCCACAAATGTATAAGTGGTTTAGCACTCATAAACTAACTACTATCATAAACCATATTAATAAACTAAAGGAAAAATCCACAAAGTCAACTACACAGATACAGAATCAGCATTTGACAAAATCCATCATCCTTTCATGACAAACTATCTTGACCATGCAGGAATAAGAATTTCCTCTAACTGATAGAAGGCATTTCTCAAAAATCTACAGTAAACATGAACTTAATCGTGAAAGACTGGAGAATGTCCCCAATGATCCAAAACAGGCAAGAACTAGATACATCTATTCAACATTGTACTTGCACTTCTAGCCAATGCAATCACAAAAGAGGAGGCATTTCCATTGGAAAAGAACAATATGACTAACTTTATTCATAGATGATAGGATATGATATGTGGAAAACTCT